AAGATGCATTATCTTGCACTTATCCACATTAAATGTCAGTTGCCACAACTCTGACCATTTTTCTAGTTTACCTAAATCATTTGCCATTTGGCTTATCCCTCCTGGAACATCAACCCTGTTATCTTAGTATCATCAGCAAAAAGACATACCTTACCATCAAGACCTTCTGCAATATCACTAATAAAAATATTAAAGAGAATGGGTCCAAGTACAGATCCCTGAGGTACCCCACTGGTGACAAGTCCAAGCTTCGAATATATTCCATTAACTACAACCCTCTGTTGCCTGTCACTCAGCCACTGCCTTACCCATTCAACAATATTGGAATCCAAACTTAAAGATTGCAGTTTATTGATAAGCCTTCTATGTGCAACAGTGTCAAAAGCCTTACTGAAATCTAGGTAAGCAATGTCTACTGCACCACCCTGATCTATAATTTTAGTTACCCAATTAAAAAAATCAGTAAGATTAGTTTGGCATGATCTCCCTGAAGTAAATCCATATTGTCTCTGATCTTGAAATCCATGTGTTTTTAGATGTTCAACAATCCTATCCTTTAACATGGTTTCCATCACTTTCCCCACTACTGAAGTAAGGCTTACTGGCCTATAGTTGCCCGACTCCTCCCTATTACCTTTCTTGTGAATGGGCACAACATTCGCTAACTTCCAATCTTCTGGGACTTCTTCTATTAACAATGATTGGTTAAATAAATCTGTTAATGGTTTTGCAGGTACATTATGCTCTTTTAATAACTTTGGGTGTATTCTGTTGCCTTCAGCAGTGCAACTTTTAAATAAAGCTAAAACATTATCATGGAGATCCCCCAAAATACAGTCATTACAAGCATTTATATTGCAGTAGATGTATTTATTAGACAGTATTTAGGGATTATTGATTAGTTATTGATTTTAAATGTATCACAGAGCTTTGGAAAAAACAAATCGTATGAAACATTTAGGAAGAACAAATTACTTTTCTTCAGCCTTTGTGTGAAATCAGACGTTCCCTGTATAAAAAAATTAAATAATTAGTATTACTAATTGAGCTGTTAGTTTTTGTGTATTGTAAAATAAAATAAAATATCATATTATAACATAATGTTTTAACACACACACACACACACACATATTCTAAGGCTTGACCTGTAGTTGTGGGAGGGGCTTGAATTCCCTTCAAAAGGGGTGACAACCCACTCCCACCTTACCGTTGCTGGCCTGGCGAGTCTGAAACGTTTTACTTCCGGTTCAGATTGTCATCTTGGATTTTCTTACCTGTTTTCCTCGTGGTCTCCTGGCCCGGTGCTTCCCTGGCTATCCTTCCCGTTGCCGGCATCCGTACAGCCCGCTCATTACTTTGCCGCCGCGGAAAAAACGTAAGTCAGGCCCACCGTAAAGCAACTGCCGCAAACTTCCTAGCTTTACATGGCGGAGCCCCATTCGTTTGAACCAGCGTTCGGTTCTTTTTCTTTTCATACAGTATGCCGTTCGGCTAATTCCCTCATCTACTCGCATTTTTCACTTTTTCCTAAGCTATCATTCGGTTATATACATATTAAATTTTTCTGTTCAGTTTTTGAATGTCACTTAGGATGTATCTATTCGTATGTTTCAACACTCTACCTAGTTCTTTCGGTAATTACAACAAATTCACGAATAAGCACGAATTAAGCCGGTACTCCAGGGGGATTTTGCCCCTACTGGTTACAAACGTTATTACAGTCACTCATAAAATTCTACTAAAGTAAATATAAATCTGTAAAACCTGGATGATTTGTCCCGATTTTCCTGACTTTTTCACACAGGTTCATACCAGGGGTTCATATTAGGAATTGTGATTTCTCACACTTGTGTCAATTATATTTACTTCTCTGCAGAGTGTCGGGTAGGTTCTGGTTTTAGGGCCCACGATCCAGCCAAACCTACTACCTTACATTCAGACGTTTATATATCAATTCTCATGTCCACAGGTCAACATCTCAATACTATTACAGTTCCTGTTTACCTCTACATTGACAGCTCGGCCTGACTCACATATCAGGTACTCCGCCAGAACCCATTACTTTGTTCTGAGGGGTACTGGTCCTAGGTTATGTGACCCAATTAGGTATTAAAATTTTTTGGTCTTAATCCATAGGCTAGTGGTCCCACAAGGCCAACATCCCCATCCTCATACTCGGAGGTACTACGCCCCTCAGGCCAAATCATAGCTAGCCGCCTCACCTGTCACTCCCATTCTTTCTTATGCTTTAATTGACACCGAGAGGCCAACACCCCGCCACAACGTTCGGTGGCCTAAATTTTTCCCTCGGGCCCACGCATAGATAGTGCCTCTCAGGCCGCTTGGCAACTAGCAGGGACTCATCTGTCATGCTCACAAAGCATTATTGTTTCACCGCTTGGTATTTAGCTAGTCACACCAGTACCCACCCAAATTCATAACATACGACTGATAAAACAAATTTTTATATTTTTCAGTTATGTCTCAAACTCCTGATATACCTGAGGAACTTTCACTACCCAGCACACCCGCTAGGCCTGGTACTCCTGTGCCTGGTGCAGATGTGAATAGCCCTTCATCCCTTAAATCATGGACCATCCCACGTCTCACAGCTGAACTCAGAAGACGCTGCATCCCTTTCCCAGCTACTTCTAGGAAGGCGGAAGGGAAGGCACTAGTGGGACTCAATTACCAGCTTTTCATGCCATGATGACTTCTCTAATGGCATCCATTGGCACAATAAGTGACAGGCTGGATAATTTGGAGGCTGGGGCTAATCAGTCCACTACCAATACTGCGGTCACCAGTCCTCTCTCTAATGCTATGCTCGGTAATTCCTTTGAATCTATGGCGGTTATAGAATCAATTAATCTCTCGCATATGGTCCCATCTCACCTTAAAAAGGACATTCTGGAAGGCAAGGACGTTAACCTGGTCTCATTGCTCATTGCCTCCCAGGATGTCCTAGAGAACAGGACCTTTGCATACGGGGATATTTTAGTTGTACTAAGGGCTAGAGACCCCCAGCTAAATAAGAAATTGTCCATCCCTAAATTTGTGCTGGGGTTTGGGATTTTTAGAGATGTCTATTGCTCAGTTTACCCTGAGAAAAGAGCAGAGTTGGATGCATACATGCACAAGATGGTGGAACTAGGGCACAAATACGGTGGTACCGTTTTTTACGATGACCACGGTTCATTCTCTGCAAAGGTGGCTGTGGCTCTGGCTCAGTTCAATTTACGCATAAATTGGAACAAATTGGACACGGAGCTATTCTGCAGGCACTTTGCAGGCCTCAGACCCCCAGCTTGTGCAGTGTGTACATCGGCAACGCATAGCACCAATTTCTGCCCGAATTCGGCTGAAATTGAACAAAACCAACCGGCTTCTAACTTCCAAAGACCTACTAGAGGATTAAAAGACAAAAGTTGGGGGCGGGGCCTGACTGCAGGACTGAGAGGAAGCAAACCTCTGCAGCTCCTGCCGAACAGCACAGTAAATCGTGGAAAAAGCCACAAAAAACTGCACCACTATGCTGCACAAGGGCCATCAAGAGACTGAAGGCACCGGGACACACACGATGATACCAAACAAGCGACAACCGCCCCGGTACACGCTGGTCCTACAGATGAGGCCTACCCGCATGGTGGGTGCGGGACGGACGGCCGCCCTCTCGCCACCAGTAACACCAAGAAACGTGACTCAAAACACCCGTTCCCCCCCCTATGGACCGGTGGGGGTCATCCCGGTCTGCCCCTTTGCAACTCCCCAGCAGAACGAGGAGAGGGAGACAGAGACGCAGATGCCTGAGCCTAACAATAAAGAAGACCTCAAAATGGCGGATGTACTTTATGCTGCAGGCCCAGACAGCGTGGAGCTAGAAACAGAACTCCGACTGAATAAAATCTTCGATGCCTTCTGGAAGAAATTGGAGGCTCGCATGAGACCCCACGCTCCTGATTATAACTCACAATGGGGCCCACAACGAGCTGATAAGCAGAGAGTAACGATACCCAACCCCAACTACAAACACGCAGTCAACCGTCGCCTGCAAAGGGCAATCGGGGGGCCTAACACCCAAAGCCTCACCAAAAACAGCAGCAGACCAAGGCCATTAATTGCGACCGCGTGGGTACTTAAGGGGCATTGGTCTGAGCAACCTACCTTAAAAGCACACAATCAGCATGAGACCCGGCAGAGCAAGCCAGAACAGAAACGAACGGTGAGCCGACGGGTCGGGAGGCCCGACAAGAAGACCGCAACAGAGAGACTGTACAGGAGCCACAACGGCCCGCGACAAAGCCTTGAGGAGTGCCGATCAGTGGGAAACGCGAAAGGGACTCTATGTGCAACTACAGGCACAATGCCCCAGGACTCGGGGACCACACGCACCTTTACCCCTCATTCCTACAGCAGGTCACAATCATTGCAGCTATTGGGACTCTTCCAAATGGGCATAGGCTGATCTTAAGGCACACAGCTACCGGACAGCCAAAAGACCTCAGGACATGAATGCACCCCAGATTGGCCTCAACCGGTGGTATTTTGAACCTGATCTTGTGTTCCCTCCCTCATGTGTTTGCCTGGGCTCCCAGCGACTGCCGCCGAGACCCAGAGACACACTCGCAGTATAGTCTGACATTATATTTCAGCATGTTTATAATCGTTATCAGTTCTGTTTATAATGCCTACATCATTGATGGGCTGCACTAGTTACTCCAAAACCATGCCGCCAAAAGCAGTGGTGTTAACAGTTATTTGAATCAGACCAGTTAACCCTTGATAATGCAGAAAATACTTATGCTTAGATTACGCAGATGCTACCTTGACGTATAGGCAAGATGAAGCAATGTTTTTATATGTTCTTTAGCACCTTACAGCATATCTATATATAGCACACCATGTCCAGGCTCCACACACAGACCTACCTCTGCCACACTGTAACACAAGCTACCACTCCTCAAACACACTAATTTACCTAATCTAGAGCCGTTGAGCATCACCTATCCAATCTCACTCTACCTTCACGCAAACACTGCTCAGCTAAGCTTTAAGTATACATATATACGAACTGCACCCACATGTTATATAGCTCAAACCCAAGCATGTTGTATTGTTACTATTATGCTCGCACTGACCTATTATCAGTCTAGATAGCAAAGCCCCACGTAACAATGTATGAAAAGCTTAGCCTAGACCTTGATCACTAGCCTACTGAATAATTCTCTATCATAAAAAAGAAAATGTGCAATGTATATTAAGCCACACTGTTGTTTTCCTTTGTTTATTGCTTTGTTTGCACTTGCTATCGTGGCACTGCAAATCTGCTTGTTAACTCATGCACAACCTAAATAAAGAATTAAAAAAGACAAAAGTTTGCAATAATTTTAACGCAGGAAATTGTAGTTTCAGCTCTTGCAGGTTAATGCATGTATGTTAACACTGTTTCAGGGCCCATTCCAAGACGATGTGCCCAAATAAAGCATTTCCTAAACCATATCTCATGTGCGTGAACCTCAGATTACTCACCACTTTGTTACATCTACACCCATCACGCCATTTCAGTAACTACCTTATAACAGGACTGACTGAGGGATTTCACACCGGGTTGATACATTTACCTACAGGCACGCTGGAATGTGACAACCTACTATCCACATTAGATGACCCACAGTTGGTACACAAACTTATCATGACCGAGGTAAACCAAGTGTTTTTGTTGGGCCCATTCTTTTCACCACCCTTCACATCTTGGAGAACCAACCCCATTGGGGTTGTCACGGGAAAAAACTCACTCACACCTAGACTAATCATTGATTTATCAGCACCACATTCAGGGCCGGACTGGCCCACCGGGATACCGGGACATTTCCCGGTGGGCTGCAGTAATCTGGGGCCGGGCAGACAGCTCAAATCATTACGTTAATGTTTTTTAAGCATTTTCCCCTTGGACTGTGCCAGTAGTAATGAGAGAGTAATGAGGGAGGAGCTGGTGGATGGTGCGGCCGCAATTAGTCTGCCCGCGGCCGGAGGGAGACCTATGAGTCACCCTGAACTATTTACCTTAATTTTGTCGGCTTGCCCCGCCTCCGCATGAAAGAGAGTGTGAGTGTGTCTGCTAGTGTGAAGAGAGAGTGTGAGTGTGTCTGCTAGTGTGAGAGAGAGTGTGAGTGTGTCTGCTAGTGAGAGAGTGAGGGTGTCTGCTAGTGAGAGTGTGAGTGTGTCTGCTAGAGAGAGAGTGTGAATGTGTCTGCTAGTGAGAGAGAGTGTGTGTGTGTCTGCGTCTGATAGTGAGAGAGTTTGAGTCTGTCTGCTAGTGAGAGTGTGAGTCTGTCTGCTAGTGAGAGACAGTGTCTGCTAGTGCAAGTGTGTCTGCTAGTAAGAGAGAGTGTGAGTGTGTCTGCTAGTGAGAGAGAGTGTGAGTGTGTCTGCTAGTGAGAGAGTGTGAGTGTGTCTGCTAGTGAGAGAGAGTGTCTGCTAGTGAGTGTGAGTGTGTCTGCTAGTGCGAGTATGTCTGCGAGTGTGTCTGCTAGTGAAAGAGAGTGTGAGTGTCTGCTAGTGAAAGAGAGTGCGAGTGTCTGCTAGTGAGAGACAGTGTGTCTGCTAGTGAGAGAGAGTGTGTCTGCTAGTGAAAGAGAGTGTGTCTGCTAGTGAGAGAGAGTGTCTGTCTGCTAGTGAGAGCGTGAGTGAGTGTGTGTTTCTGTGTCTGTTTGCTAGTGAGTGATCTATGACTGTGAACCTGGTGATGTGTGTCAGTAGGTGTCTGAGTATGGACAATGTGTGCTATTGGTTAGATATACTTTGTGCTCAGAGGTGAGATCCTTTTAAACTGGTATCTAGGACTCTGTGCTAAGATGTGCTCTCTGAGTATGAGATACAATAACCATATGAAAATGAAAAGACCCAGTCCTGGGACAAGAGGAACTTCACAATAATGGGCTTCAGTGCAGCCCAGTGCCATTGTGCTTAGACCACTCATTAATAAAATAAAGACTGACACATGAGGGAGTTGGGTCAGGTCTGATGAGGTTTCCTGAGATCAGGCAGACAGTTTAGGTGATCTGTGTTTATTTCAACAGCACTAACTAGACCATTTCCTCTCCTCCCCTCTACAAGACTCCTTAAAGGACCACTCTAGGCACCCAGACCACTTCAGCTTAATGAGGTGGTCTGGGTGCCAGGTCCAGCTAGGATTAACCCATTTTTTTATAAACATAGCAGTTTCAGAGAAACTTGTCTGAAACTTGTCTTGTCAGTATGCTTGTCTGTAGTGAGCATGTGGATGTCAGTGAGCGTGTGTGTGTGTGTGACCGTGATCTTGTCTGTAGTAAGCCTGTGCATGTCAGAGTTTGTCTGTACTAAATTTGTGTGTGTACCATTAAGCTTGTCTGTGTGTGTCAGTGAGATTGTCTGTCAGTGAGCCTATTTGTGTGCATCAGTGAGCTTGTGTTTTTATGTTAATGAGCGTATGTATATCAATGAGATTGTCTGTCTGTCTGTCTATGAGACTGTGAATCAGAGCTTGTGACAGTGAGATTGTCTGTGTCTGCATGTGGGTATGCTTACTGTACAGTATAGTTAAATGTTTTACTCTAAAAGGACCAATATTTTGAAATAAATAATATTTTGAAATATTCACATAAAATATATATACACACACATACACATATTACACACAATACACAGCACAATGACTTATGGGGCTGGTATAGATTTTTTTTTGCCAGGGCTGCTTTGTACCCCCAGTCTGGCCCGGACCACATTACTCCACGGTCCCCAGCCTAAACTCACTCATACATTCCGAAGAGTTTTCATTATATTACGCCAATATCGACCATGCCATAGGGGCCATCATTAAAGCGGGCACAGGGGCATGGTTAAGTAAAACGGATGTAGTGAATGCCTTCAAGTTACTTCCCATGCACCCTTCCCTTTGGCACCTTCACGGCATTAAATAGCAAGGGTTATATTATTTCTTCACCCATCTCACTTTTGGCTCCAAAAGTAGCCCACGTATTTTTGACACATTTGCAGAAGCTGTGACAAGACCAATCTCGCCACATTGCATTGGAGAAGCCTGGTTGCTCGCCTATTGCCTTTGGATTATGGCCCCATGTTAAAAGGCTTGATTTTCCCCTGCAAAGACATGAAAGCCGGGTCATTTGGTGCTTGCCATGGAGCCCATTTGTATAATGAAAGACTATGGGAAAGACTTTGGCTCCATGGCAAATGAACTGTATGTGTGTGCTCTGAGCGCCATTCAGTAATAATGTGCGCTCAGATCTGAGCTATCTGGGGATATGTTGAATGTACCTGTTTTGTGCAATGGCTGCACAGTTATGTTTTTATGTGTTTTATTGTCTTTTGCTGCCATGTGTTTAATGGAGTTTTGCCTCTGTCTTTGGGGATAATTGGATTACTTTCCAATTATCTCCAGGATAGAAGACTCTGTGGAACTGGTTTTGGGCAGAAAAGCCATGCTTCCTTTGGTCACAAAGGACTAAGATCTTTTGAACCAATTTGGATGATTTTGACATATGTTTGTATTTGGAGTATGCTGATTCTGAAAATGTGAATGTGATGCATACTTTTCAAGTTATGAATAATGTGGAAACATTTTATTTCTCTGCTTGTTATAATTACATTACCCATTGTGTAAGGTAATTGAATCACAGGCAGAGGGGAGGATTTTGTGTGGGAGTGTCTGAGTGTATTGTATGTGTTTATTGGTTGTGTTCCAAAACCCTGTGGGTGGTACTAATGTGTAAGAATGTGTACATAAGCACAATAAACCCACAGCTCTGTCTGTTCACTGCTTGACCCTCAACACGGAGCTTTGTCTCGTTCTTGGGGGGATTTATTGTATGCTGTTCCAGTTTGACTGCTAGGAGTGTAAACCTATTCGTATGGTTTTTCCTATTCGGCTGTTTACAGCATTCATATGGTTTCCTGTTCGGCGGATTGGTGTTCTGCAGTAGCTGTGCCTGTGTCTCTGGAAGGGAAGATCTACTAAACGGCTTTTAACCCCTTTTATGCCTTGGGGTGCCGTTACAGAAGCGTTGTGTTGGTTATTACTTAATGTGTGCAAATGTCCATCGTTCATTCATTATCTGGTTGATTTCCTCATGATTGAGAACAACACACTCCCCCCAAGTAGTTTAAAACACATGTTGGCTTTGTTTGAATCCCTCACTATCCCAGTCTCCCCGCACAAGACGTTGGGTCCCGACACCAACATGCAATTTTTGGTGATACAACTAAACACTGTAAATTTGCAGGCTAGCCTCCCTCAGGACAAAATTGAGCATACCCTGGCAGGCATCGAGCACTACCTACTGCATGGGTGTTGCACCCGGAAAGAACTGCAATCACTGCTGGGTTCGCTCAACTTTGCAATGAGGATCATTCCACAAGGTAGAGCTTTCATTTCACATCTACTATCCCTATTTCCACAATTCACCTCAGACACTTCACGTATCACGTTAGACGACCACGCAACCTCTGATTTACTGATGAGGGTTTTTTTTTCTCACCTCTTGGAACGGGCGAGCCATGTTTATACCACCCCACTCTACACTGTGGACAGAGATCAATGGCTTTGGGGACCATGGCCGACCAAAGTCAAATCACTGCCCAAATTCACTGAGACCTCAGCTTTATTTGAACTGTACCCAATCGTGGCGGCGGCCATTGCTTGGGGACTACATTGGTCCGGTCACACGGTTAGGTGCTACTCAGATAATATGGCTACATGCCATATTGTCAATAAAGGCTGGTCAGCATCCCTGGTAATTATGAGACTCCTGAGACGACTCACATGGGTAGCAGCCACCTGTCAATTCTTTATCACATGTATTCACGTTCCGGGGTGCACAAACATTGGCGCTGATCACTTGTCTCAATTTCGTTTTCAGGATTTCTTCACGACACTACCCTCCACTTCCAGACTGGCAACTCCTGCCCCACTCTTCCGAGACATGATAATGGATTAAAAGCTTTGTTAGATCACGCACATCACATTTCTCACCTTGCACTTTCATTTAACACTAGGAACACATACGACAGGGCTTTTCACGTATTCAAGAAATTCATCACTGAATTCCACATCCACGACATGTTCACGTTAGAATCAATACTGGGTTTCACTTCTTTTTGCCACATCAACCTTAAATTATCATTCAACACTATAAAACTGTACCTTACGGGCATTCAACA